AAGCAGCTAAAATAGCAACAACTAGATGTTTTTTGTATTTTCTTCAGCTCCATAAATTAGAGAATTCGGCTGAAAGGAAAAAGAGATGCAAAGAGTTAAAGTTGTGGCCACATTAAAAAATCGCATATTAGGTATGCTTTTTTGCATGTTTGAGTGTATGTAAGTATAAATTTTGTGCCTATAGGTAAACGGATTTTGTGCACATGCTTTGTTACAGGGTTTAATCAAAATTTGTTGCGGAATCCGTGACCAAAGGTCTTCAAGGGCGCGACGCGGGTCACTAATTTGATCTCGCTGAATCCTTAACATACGTTTACCACGAAATCCGTGAGTGTCCAACGATAGTCCGGGGATTTTACCAAACAAGATAGAAGTTTTTTCTAGAATTAGGTGCTCGACCCATGACTCGACAGAAAAGTTTTTTGAGGTAAAACGAGACGGTAGATTGAAGGATACAGAGTCAAATGATACTTCAAACAAGGCAGAGTTGAACACAGGTTTGAACTTTGGGTCAAACGGTTTCGTATCAGGGTTCGAACTGAATCGAATCACGGGTCAATCGGGTCAAATCATTTTTAAAATCAACCAGCTAGAGGTCTAACTCGAATTATTAAAGGTTAACCAAGCCCTGGCAATCTTATAAGAGCTCACCTTGTAAATTGAAACGCACGTGCGATTTGAACCCTCAACTATATGATTGATGGGCGCCATCACTACAGATATGCCCGAACGCCACTCATGGTTCGAGCGTAGTCAGATTATTGATCACGGAATCGAATCTTTAATTGGCCGAACGAGATCAAACGGGATCGATTCATTGTTGGAATAAAGGAGAGAGTTGAAACTTTGCCAAACTAATCAGCTATTATCAGTTTATCTCATGACTAGATAACAAAAACTTACCCCGACCGAAAAGTATTACATGAAAATACGATTGATAAGCACTGACTTTTCTGTTTTCGCATAAATATATTGATTGGAACAACTCTTCAGTGAAAAAATGATCTCCTTAATAATTTTTGAATCAAGTCAATGCCTTGAAACATCGTTTTGGTAAAAATGTAGTAAAAAAGCGTTTGTAGGAAATTCATGTCAAGCAAAAATGATGCATAACAGTACATTGAATTGAACTTTTAGAACGCTCTAATTTGCTTTAAAATCCAAAATATCAATTCAGTTGGCGAATAGAAAAAAAAACCGGCCAAAACTTTTACTTCCCCATTATTAAAAAAAGAACTGTGTGTAAAGTATCTCTAACTTGCGGTCATATACAATTAACCTCATAAGATATACGAAATTTTTTGCAACGTTTCAGATTAAAAACTAATCTGAGCACAAACTAAGCCCACAATTTTTTCAAAAGTTGGAACAAATACACTAATTTAACAAAAACTTTTCAGACAACATTTTGTGCTTGAGGTTGATTTTTTTTAATTTTTCAATTCGTAATAAATTCATTAACACAAGTTTTTCGAATCAAAAGAGCGTCAACTGAAGCATTAGTTGAATCATCTTCTAAGTCTTTTCCTAAATTATCCCAAACTTAATCACAAAAATTTCAATTCGTTCTTTTGTTAGAACAGAATTAATCGATGAAAAACTGATTCTCTTCACAGTTTTATCCTTAATGTAGAAGTAATGAGGTTTTTAAAGTGATACTCTTGGTTGTTTTTAAAAATTGGAGTACTTGATACTTGCCTGGAATAGTAGGTATCGTGGCTCGTTGCAATGCCAAAATTGAACAAAAACTAGTTAAGTTAAATTAAATCTGTAAAATTTTTAATGAATTTTCTACACTCACTGCCTTCGACACATGAAAAAGCTGTCAAGACAAAGAACCTTTGAATAATAGCTCCCCCACATATAAAACGGCCTTGAAGTAGTAGCCTTGCGTAAAAGGGTCTGTCAACTAAAGTCCATCAAGGATCTCACCATTAAAAGCCGTATAAGCGTCTAAACTTTGTTTTTATTTTGTAATTTATTTTGCTTTTTCGGCTGCTAATATTTTCGCTTTCCAATTAGTTAGCAAATCATAGATTTTATAATCGTTATGTTTTGCAACCTTTTATCAACCAATGATAAGTACAATTCTCAAAATAACGTTTCCGCATAAAAACGAGATCCCTGAAGGATAGCCATTAACAATGGCATTATAAGTCGAAGCCGCGAAATCAGATTCTTTTTTATTTCTAGTTATGACAGCACCAGAGCAAAGAACTGCAAAGTTTAATAACAGAACGCACGTTTTGGCAAACATTTCAAAATTGGGTTTGAGATGTATTTACGAATATCGATGAACCAGTTTAGCAACCTTGGCATTTTGTATACTCATAACAAACTCAATCAACTTCGATGGAAATCATTTGATGGATATTGAATTGAACTGATATAAAGATGAAATTTAATTGAAGATAGTATTTGTTTTATAAGAACTTAAGTTCTGGGAAGTCATATGAGTGCTGAAAGCATCTTCGAACTAGAATCAGGCCATTCTAGAATTTTGTAAAGGCATGTTTTCCCACGCGAAATGAGGGAGAACGAAGAAAAATTTGGACGAATTTCAATGCACGAGTTGGTACTTCAGCCGGGAATCATGCATTTTTTAAAATAAAATCTAAAACAGTGGTGAAAGTGAGAAAATCAGGTTGATAACTAATAAATTTTGTGAATTATTTCCAGCTTAAGAACATTGTATGAATTGGAACCAAAACGAAATATTTTTTACAGCAGCACATAATTACATGTTGGCGAAATGGAGCTTCGCAAACTTTCCGATACAAGAAAAGCAAAGCATGCCAAGCATGCTGACGTGAATAATTGACTAAAGCCACGGATTCGAAAAAAAATTGAAGTTAGATATCCCAAAGTTTTCTTACATTCGAATCAATATGTATTAAAATTGCCAGGATTGAACTACAATTGGAAAACGTTTTTTAGATCGATAACAGCTAAAATTTCGTGAAAATGGAAGAACAACCATAAGTAGCGCGTTCAAATGCCCAGTCATAATCCTTGCAAAACAAAACACTTATTCACTTTTTAGCACATTCCAGGTTTAGTACACGCCAGTTTTTAATAAAAAACGATCTCACAAATGTAAACTTTTCGAGCCGATTAAGTTGTTCTATGCAGTATGAAAAACTGAAATGATAATAATTCATAATAAGTTCATAAGCAAAATAGAATACAGACTTCGAGTAGGACAGGAGCTTGAAATACTTAGTCTGTTTTCCAAGATACGCCAACTCTGATGTGACATGGCTTTGCTAATCGATAAAGCTTTGCTAAAAAATCAATACCATAGCTCGTTTTGGAGTTCCATGAATAACAATCGATTATACTTGAGTTTCATTCTCAATGTCCAAAAGTAAAAAAAAGATTATAATCAATTAAAATTGGCTCTTAATGTTACAATTGTTTGAGTCAACAAAATCCATTTTTAATAAATTATATTCATTTTTTTTTTCAATTTTGTGGACGCTGACAATGAAACTCAATTATAATCCTTTTTTCCACCTTATTGTGATGCGAATCAATGAACTGAGGTCTTTTTGAAATTATATATAAAAGTTGGTTACTTCTTCAACTTCGTTTTTTTTCTGAATAACTTCGATATTTTTATTAAGTTCAGATGGAGGGGTTGGTTCGCGTGAGGATATGTCTCAGTTGGTTAGGTGTGAACGGGGGGGGGGGGGGTGGGGCTCGAGTGTGGTTTAACTCTGTGTGTGTGTGTGTTTGTGGGGCAAAGGGGCAAACGTTGGGACAAGGGGTGTAAGGGAGCAAAGCGGCAATTGTTAGGGGAGGAGAGGTTAACGGAATCTTTTTGCAATTTGAGTTTAGGTTCATAAAAAGAGTAGGTCGTACTCTCGCTTGGCAAAATTTTCGAATTTGATAAATTTCACTCATTTGATGAATGCAGCAATTCTTGCTTTCTTGCTAATTTTTGCGCGACGCGAAACATTTCAGTGTAATTTTCTACCTATTTTGTAATTCATTATAATAGATTTCAAATCAGTTATAAAAGATTTTGATTTTGCGAGAAAAAATGGATTGAAATTCATTTTTCCCCTTTTTTGTTGGCTGAGAGTAACATGGGAATCGGTTATGGACCACAAAAATTCTTTATAATAGAATTTTTTTCCTTTTTCATAAAAGCTGGAACCCACCTTCTGTTTATACTCGAGAAGTTTCTTCTAACTTCTTTTTGCAAAAACACTTGGGCTATTGGAACCGCAGCCAGGTTAAAACGATACCGATCAACCCGTCCTGCTACATCTTTTTTGCTATAATTTTTAAAAAACTGAAATATATATCTTAAAACTTAAACTTTTAAAAAATAATTAATAAAAATAATTATAAAAACAAAACGAACTAGATCCAAAAAGACGAAAATTTTACAATTGAAATAAATCATCAAATTTCAAGAAAAAATGTCAAATTATTATAAGTACTGTTTGCTTAAAAACAATCAAAATTAAATCACAAACAAAAAATGATTTCCCAATTGGCATAAGTTTCAAGTTTTCATTGTAATTCAAACGTTTTCTATCAATTTCTAATTCTAAGGTTTTGTCAGGAACGAAAACATATGAACAAAATTTGGAGTTATTTGCTTCAAAACAAATGTTAAGCGACAATTTTATCGGAAAAATTGAACACAAATAGCTTATCAATAATGCTTTTTGCGTTTGATAAAAAATCCTACATTTTTTCTAGCTGAAATGTCAATGAACTTTTGAATTGAACGTTTGGCTTATTTTCTCACATGGTCCACGAAAAAGGTTTTTCTCGATTTTTTAAAGCAACTGTTGCATTAAATTTATGCCATTTGAAAACTTTTCATTTTATGCCATTTTAAATTTATGCCATATGAGACTGCAATCACTTCAAATTGATGTTCTAACATGAGCACTCATCTTGTTTTCAACTTGAGATAACTTGTTTAGTTTTTGTAGCTAGCTATGTACAAAAAAAAACAAAAGTTAGAGGCCTTGTAAATATCACTGATTATGTACCAAATGATGTTGAAGTTACTTGTACTAAACTGCATGAACTTGCCTCATTTACTGCGTTTGTTTCTTCAATATCAGTCTTGTATTTTATTTGGTATATGAACACAATTTTTTTTTTGCAGATCGCAAAAACAAGCCGAAAATGATCAAAATCATCAACGTACTTGTAGCCTCACTGATACTGGGTAAGTTGACTGTCTTCCAAAGGTTTTCTATTCGGTAAAAAGAGTCGGCTGTTAAAACAACAGGAGTTTTTTCCGGGCTGCATTTCCGCGGTTTTGTTTCGACCTAGATGTTAATTCCATAGTCTGAACAGGGTTTTAAGTCCCGGCCAAAGTCGCGGCATGTTAAAAAATACATCGCAGCATTGTGAAAATTTAGGTCGCGGCATGATTGAAAACAGTTCACAAATTTAAATACTTAGACGCGCTAGGACTTTGGAGTAATCGAATTCGGGCCGTTGGCGTCTAAATTTACCATGATATCCATTATACTTTTTTAAGCTGATCTGATATGTTAAATTTAGACTGTTGCTTTGGCGCAATTGCTATCGAGGATAATTCTGTCGAAAAAAAAACAAGTCTAGTTATGTTCGAAAAATATGTCGCGACTTGTTCAAAAAACAAGTCGAAGGCAGAATGTTTAAAAAATAAGTCGCGGTATGATAAAAAATGGAGTCGCGGAACAGTCAAAAGTAAGATAAGTCTGGTAAAAAAGCTATCTTAGACATGGTTTGAAAACCAAGAAAATCATTTTTTAAGGTGTTATCCTAAACATAAAGTGTATAAATTGAATCAAAGCACTTCGAACTACTTTTCAAGTATGTTTTTTTTCGAAATCTTTTAGATTCGCTTGTTGTCACAAAACAATTTCTATACCTATGGTTACAACCTATAGAAAATTAATTGCATAAACAATGTTCTTTCGTCTTACCGTACAAATAATAGAAACAAAGGTGGCCCGAGAAAAACTGTTTTTTTTTCATTATAGACCCTTTCCCCGGTAAATTGAAGACCTTCCAAATACAAAACTCAGGGGTGCTATGAGTTTTTTGTTACTAGAACGGGGATACTTTTGGGACACACTAGTAATTAAATATCATAAATTTGTTTATAGTATTTGAATTTTTTGTGTCATATAGTGACGCTGTTCGTTACTAGATATTTTTAATTTTTTCAGTCGTGGTACAGCAATCAGAGGCTGGAAGACCGCCTGGCCTTTATAAAGAGGACCCTTCGACTTCGACCCAGACTGCTGTGAACGTGTCCTTTACCTACAGCGAAACAGGAGGTTTTCAAAACGATGATTTTATCTTGAAAAACGTGACTTGCCAAGAAAGTGACGCTTCGGCCGATTTGACAGAAGCTGAATGCAAGCTCACTTACAACGGAAACGAACCATTTCAAATTCATGTGGTTTTTGTGGAGAATTTAAAACCAGGAGTCGAGAGGTCTTTGAAAGTATATGACATCGTAGATTCGTCGGGACCTGTGGTTATTGATCGAAACTTTAATTTCTGCTCCGGTAAGTCATGTGGATTTTTCATCATGGGAAAACCATATCAACGTCAATGTCATTGATCGGTCCAAAAATCCAGGGCTCGTATTCAAATTTTTTTACCAGGAACCAGGCCTGGACTACCAGGTTTATTGGGTGAAACATTATTGGCTAATGCCACGAAACCAGCTTTCAAAATTTCTGCAGAATTACGAGTCTAACCTAACCTGATCCCTATATTTATTTGTTTTCAAAGCTCGGCTAGTTCAAAATAGTAAAACCAAATCAATAGGCATCAGAATGAAGTTGATCTCGGCGACCTCAAATTCCTTTCGCGACTTTCATTGTTTAGATGATACAATTGAATTGTTTAGATCCTGCAAACCCCACCGAAGTCGTGCTGGGTGATGGTGACGGCGATGCTGCCGAGGCATCCGTCACCATCACCGGTGCTGGGGCATAACTGATTTCAAGTTGGGTCTGGAACCAGGATATGAATAGGTGGAACATAGTCACCAATGAAACTTCCCACGCTGATACTTACACTTTCGATGCACCGCAGGGTGGACATATCTACTATGTAGATGCGTATGGGTATGACGAGTGCGCAGGCGCTGTCTTGCCGGGGTCTAGGAGAAGAAGTACCCGCCTGTGGATGAGTCGTAAGTTAAGTCTGCCCTCGACCACTAAAAAGCTCCAATGAATGTATAGTATTGCCATCTTATGGCCATTATAAATGTATAATTATGTGTGTGTGTAGGTTACACTCCTGATTCCTTCCCTAACCACTTTAAGATGAGCTACAGTGTTGATGATGGATCAATGTGTTTCCTGAAATTCGACTCTGATGCATCTGCACTGTCGGTGAAGTTTCAACTCAAGCAGGGGTCGACCGTCCTTGGGGAATCAATGATATCCGATGTAAGAATCTTCTTTCAAAATTTTTGTTCTAAATTGGGGTTTGGTTTGAAAACTGGCGGAGTTTGGTCTTGACAGAGAGTCTTTATTTAAACAGTATATGCGACAGACTTAGATAAATCAAGTGCAGCAATCTTTATATCATATAAATTTTAATCGATTACTAAAATTTAAAAAACTACGTTTCTCTGAATTTACTGAAGTTAGAACTTTAAACTTTGGGTAAGCAGAGGAGGAGGAGGAGGAAGAGGAGGAGGAGGAGGAGGAGGAGGAGGAGGAGGAGTAACGGACAGCCACAAACCCATTTTTATTGGTGTTGTAACAAGCCTGACGTAAAAATTATGGGCTGTGGGAAAGTTTTGCGCTCTAGAAATTGTTTAAAGTAGTGAACAGGAACCTTTTGAGCGAATCAAAAGAATAACATAGTACTGTTGTGATAGTACTTTTCAGTTGTGTTCTAACCGGCGTCCAATGGACTCCGCGTCATTTATTTTTTCTTTGGGATAAAAGTCAGATTTATTTCAACCTTTTACTTTTTATTCTTTTAACCTAGCTTAGATAGCTTTAGTATAGCAGTTGTTTTTTATCACTTCTTATTATACCGCAGTCAGCTGATTCAAATCTGCGGGGAATTCCCACCTCTTGGCCAAACCATACTGTAGAACAACCCACTCAATAGACAAAATGGATTGAACGGTTCCACTTGGCTATCATCACCAAAGAGAATGGAGTGGTCCACAAGATTCAGAATATGAAACTCTGAAGGAAGCCAGAGAGACCAGAAACAAAAAGTAATGCGAATCTATGAAAACGCGGAGGACAAAATAATCTAGGAGGAGAAACAAAAACTTGGTGGATTGAGGAGAAACGAAGCGGATAAAAAAGTCAGATTCATCTTTCAATTAGCTCTATGAGCCGAGGAAAAAGAGTGTTTTAACAAAAACACCCAACGTTGAAAGTTTCATCCATATCCTCCAAGCAAATTTGCGATCTTCTATTTGCAGCATTTGTCACTTCAGCGAATTTAACGTTTGAACTGTAAAAATTGTTGAGCCGAAAACAGAAGGACACAGAGTCCTGTGATCAATTTTGGGGAACAATTTCGGATTTAGCTAGAACTTGCGAAAGAAGAAAAAACGCTGAACAAGAGTGGATAAGAGACGTTTTCAAATTCAAAATGAGAAATTGTGACCTCCAACGGAGACTCTTGTCGGAAACGGTAAATCCAGTGGTTGCACTCAATCAAGCAGATATCGACAATAAGGTCTACTATAACCATCTTCATATATTGATCATGACGAAAGCTTACAGCAACAGCAGCGGCAAGATATTCAAAAATTTCAATTCTGTAAAAAAAGTAACAGATCTGAAAAAAATTCAAACGCTTGCATGACTTATGGAAAAAAATTTTACCCAAAGACAGTTGAACGTTTACTCAGCAACTGAAATAAATTGTATTATTTGTATATACAAAGGACATCTTTTAGACTTTGTAAATCAAAAAAGATGAAGTTGGTTTTAAATAGTTTAGACCAAAATGTATATAACCAGAATTGTCCATTTTCGCCATTGGATACACATTAAAATCAGCAAAAAAAGCTAAATCAATGATACCCTAATTGCCTCAAAAGCTCCACTGTTTGAATATAAAATCGACATTTGGAAAAATTTGAATATCTTAGAGAGCATAAACATGGCAGTAAAATAGGAGAAAAGTGCTTTTTTCGAAGAGACATTGAACGGTTAGGTTTCAAGATCTCTAACACATAAATAAAACCATTGGTAAAACCCTGAATCCAAAGAATTTTTCAGAACAACGATCATTTTTTGATTCATTAAACCAGTAATTGAAGTTTATCCGCAATCTATCAACGCTGAACTCACCGCTTTGGCCCCTATTAAACAAAAAATCAGTTTATCATTGGAACATTTAATACAAAACAGCTCTTCTATAACAAAGAAAACTAATCATTAATATTACCAAGAATAACAACTTTGACATTAAAAGAAGTTCATGAGTGAAAACAAAATGCTTCGCATAACTGTTTAGGAGTTATACTGGAAAAATGAGACCAAAAATTTTGGATTACTATCGCGTTCGCTTCTCGATTCCTAAACAACTTCTGGTAACATTCGCCGATAACCAGATGTATCGGCGAATGTAACAACACATCACCTTGCGAATGTTCTTAAACACAACTCAGACACACTTCGAATTTGCAATTCAAACGAGTCCTGTACGAGCAGTTGCATACCTTTAAAACTTTCCAAATCTAATTTAATCAAAAATTCTTGTCCGAAAAATCGTTTTTTTTCATTACCATCGTTATAAATTTTTTAATCAAATTTAAAACAAGAAGAGAAACCCAAGTTTTAAGCTTTTCCCACCTCACTACTTCCTTTAAAACAATCGATACTTTCAGAAAAAGGAGGAATCTCATCACAAATCAAAAACGATGTCCCAAATCCATCAGATATTACTTACGATGTAAAAGAGTGAGTTAAATCTGCCATCATCCCCATTAGTGTTGTTAGACCATTGCTCGAATTAAGTACTACTGATGATGAAAGACGAAGAGAGAATTCTGAAAGAAGTAAAGAAGGCTTTAGAAGAAGGAAAACCACTGGATAAATTCGGTGCCCAGTTGAAAACCTTTCAACAGGACATTCATTTGAAATAAGGACTACTCTTCAAAGACAACAAATTGATTAAGCCAGCTGCCCTCAGACCCACATTCATGACCTTTTTGCACAAAATCCACCCAGAACAGTTTTCTATGAAAGCACTGGCAGAAAAAAATTGGAGGCCACGCTTACACCGAGAAATTAAGCAAGGCGGAAAAATTTTTGCGCAATGTATAAAAGCCGGTGAGAATCTTAAATCATTTTGGGCTCGGCTAAAACTCAGAAATTACCAGAATTTTCGGAAACTAACGAAGAAATGAACCTGGATTTCGCAGGTCATGTGATTGGATAAAAACTGGGGCACATCAAAATAAAGCTAGCTGGGGCTCACCTAGCTTAGTCGTCTTTAGTATGACATTAGTATTTGAACATTTCTGAGAAGTACAACGGTTCACAGAGTCCTTACTTTTCCAACCCAAGTTCGAAATCAACTTTGAAATTGGAATTACTGGTAGGCAAATACAGAGGTAATTAGGACGAGTCGTGTAAAAGTTCAAAAATGCCATTCCTACTCCAAAGAACAAACCCACAGAGAACTCTGCAACTGAAGCAGTCGAAATATACCTCGAATGCGACTGAAACACACCGCGAGCAAAGAAACACACCGCGAGATTGAACTCGAGAACAGTCGCAAAGAAAGTTGAGCGTCTACCGTCAGAACATCCGGCAAGACACCACGAAACAAATGCATTTTTTTTGGCCGAAACAGCTGATAAGAAGGCATTCGTAACAATAGTGTTGGCTCACAAATCATGGAATTAGTAAATAAGCAACTCAATGGAGGCGGGGATTCAGGCTCAAAACCTGGTAGTAGTTGCCGACATCAACTCTACTGACACGGTTCTGCATCGTTTTTTAAACCCACTTTAATATTAATTACTTGATCCGGGTATATGCTTCCATATCACTATTTCAAAAAAACTCCGCGCTTAGAGTGCATTTTTTTCCACAATCCGCTTAAATTTTTTTGCGTGTTGAAAAATGTCGAGGACAATTTTTTGATTGCGAAAACAAACATACGTATATTAGCGTTTGTTCGACTATTTATAGGAAAATTGACCAAGATAATCGAAACATAGCAAAATTTTGAGCAAAAATGAATACCTCAACCCGGGTCTTAATTTCGACAATATAAAAGAAAAATTATTTTGTGTTGTGACTGGCCTTTTACTTTTTCAGTTGAGTGTCCGACACCGGGCGAACGGGAATTCGCGTCAAATTATAAAATTTGGGATTCCAAGTTGAAAAAATATTCAAAGTAATTACCCAAAATCGTTTCGTTTTTTGATTAATTACTTCAATTATTTCTCAAATAATTCTAATTTTATGACTTTTTTGCCCTACCTGTTTCTTTCCAATAAACTATTTAGGCAGGGGCGGATTTAGAGAAGGCGGGAACACCCTCCATGCCGACCTAAAGGGTCCCCCTTTTGTACTATTTAGGACATCTGTTTTCGGCTGACGGACCCTAAATGTCTTTTAAGTGCTTTGGGAGAGCTCGGAAAATCCATTCCGCCGACCTCAAAAAACGGCTGACAAAATTATGGAGAATTTTTGAAAGTATCCCCCCCCCCAGAAAAATTTAGATCCACCCTTGTATTTAAGACCAGTTTTTCCGTTCAGGAACATCTGAAAACTGATCTGTTGATGCGCTGGTGGTGTACCAGTCAATTTAATTTACTAAATTGTGATTTATGTTTTTTTAGATTTTTTTTTTGTACAAACTAAATTATACTGGCATGCGCCCAAAGTTAAAAAGATACAATTATATATTTTAAACACTGATGTTACTTATAGCCAACAACAAAGGAATATGTGTGTATAGTCATGGATGGGTCGCAAGATACAGCAGAACTTGTTGACCTGGTCGGCGTCATGGAAAACAGCGTGACAATCGCTGGTATCGTTGAAGGTGGAGAATCTTCACACAGCTACGGAATCGAACTCAACCTTACAGAATGTAAGTGAAACGGTTGTTTTACATATATAATTTTTGCTTTGATTCCCCAAAATGTTCCAAATTCCGCAAACTTTACTGCACAGCCCGCAAACTCGCCTTTTTTAAAGCCTTTTTAGTGTTTCAGTGGAATCCAAAAGAGTAAACTGGATCAAAAAACACTATCAATGCTAAGGGTTCCTTGACAAGTCTGTAATCAAGATTTTGCCGAATCCGCTTGCAACTCCTGTAATACACGGTTACCGTTGGCCTCGTTATTTGGTATCCATGCTCACCTCATGATAATTTTCCAAGATGCTAGAGCTCTGCAAAAAAATTAATTTCCGTGGTTCGAATGTTTGGATTCTCTGCGGATCTAAAGCTTCAATTTCTCAGAAGTTTCAAGAAAAAAAGACATGATATTCATTTTTTTCAGGAAACTTTTCTGCCACCAACTACTACTACTCCGATAATATAAAATTTTTGAAACATCCCTCGGAAGTTGCGTAAATACTTAAAAGGGAGTTTTATTAAAACCAAAATGACAAAAATGCGCTTCAACAATTTTTGTACAGGTTACGATTCATTGCAGGGAATAAAAAGCGTTTTTTTTTTCTTCAAAACTGGAAACAAAATGATCAAAATGAGAAGCTTTTTTCATAATCTGAAAACCTCAAATTAATTGCCTGTCGCAGCTATTTTGCAATCAATTTTCAAAAACGTTTACAGTAGCCATTGGGGTCAAACACAGTAACCCTTTTCAAGTCATTGCCTGCTCTGAAGCGGTGATATTACATTGACACTAAATATTGTGAATTATACTTGTTTTTGAAAAAAAAAACCACGTGTCTAGTAACGACCAAAAAACTAGCTAGGTGTTTGCTGAACGCAAGAAAACAAAAATTAAGAATAATGTTTTGTTTTTCATGCAAATTTTGAGCACTTGAACTGCATTATAGAAACCGAACTCGGTATGATTTTGCAAGTAAATTTTTATTTGAACAAGGTTTGCGCAAGTATAGAGTTGGTTTTTAGACACTAAAAAAGGTATTTTTAGTGACATTTTTTTTTAGCTTTTTGTTTGGAGTTCATGAGGACAAGTTCGTTTTTTTCTGAGTAAAAGAACGAACCTAACGAGGCGATTCTAAGATGCCTAGAGGAGGTGGGGTCTGTAGTTTTTCTGGTGGTTGCTCTTTGTCTTCCTTTAGGACGTCGTCCTTTGGGCCGCTTCTGGGGTTTTCTTCTTCGAGGGAGACAATATTTTTCCTCTGATAAACTCATAAAATATTTGCACATGGATCAGTGGGCAAACTTAAACCGAAATCAAAGTCGTGCCGGGAAGTAATTTTCCTTAGATTGGATGGTACAGTTTCTGAAAATTGTGTCCACTAATTTGGTTTACCGTATGCTCTAGAAAAACTGTAATAATATAAATTTTTAGCGTGTCTTTTCTAAAAAAAACTGCTTCCAAAGGTTTTTTCCCGAAGATCCCAGACGCAGTGGGATTTTTGAAGTTAGCATTGGTCTTTGCACTGGTTGTCTGAGTCTGATGTAGATGGCGAAATCCCGGGTTGACCATAACTTCTTATCATACAATTTCCATTTATGAGAAACTTCTTGTCATACAATTTCATACAATTCCATACGTACAGAAAATTGTATGAAAATTCTATGATAAGCATTTTTCCATATATGAAAATTGTATGATAGGTGTTTTTCCATAAACCAAAAACTTTGATTTTTCTTTCCAAATATATTTTCTGAAAAATTTTCGGTTGTTTGCAAGCGAACACAAGTGACAAAGACCTTGGTTACTCAAAGCACCAAAGGTTGGACGGTCTTGCATTTACAATGCATAGAAAACGACCTGAATTGCGCTGCCATTCACAATTGATCTAATAAAAGTAACAAACTTTTAATTTTTGGCAAATTTTTTTAATGATGATTATTTTAAATTTTTGAATTTTCAAATTATCAGACATTGATCAAGGCATACATAAACACCCCATACAAAAGAAATAGGAATTTTCAGCGTTTTTGAAAAAAAAAAATTTAATTGAAAAGATAAAAGCCAATATTATCGTATCCAGGACTACGTTATGCACACAAAATTAAATTTTGCATGCAAAATTGTTTTTTTCGGAAAATGTTTGTTTGCGTACGAAATTCGATTTGCGGTTGAAAAAAAATAAATTTAGGGCCACATTTTCAAAACTACTTGAAAAATTTTTTGTGTCGCCATTAAAAAAATGCCAGTCGTACAATTTCCATATATGGGAATTGTGTGATAAGCAATTTTTTCAAAAAACGAAAACCTTGGGTTTTTTTACCACCAGACTGTTTTATTAGAATCAAAGAGCCACACAAATAAGTATGAAATTGTATGAAAATTTTATGACAAGCATTTTTCCACACACTTGATGTATGGAAGTGTATGATAAGCATTTTCGGTGTATGCAGGTCAACCCGGGATGCCCCTTTTGTTTTTTTGCTCAAGATTTTCAAGATCGCCGTCTTCCAGATACTCGTGCAGTTCTTAAATGCGGATTCCTTTTTGAAAAAATGGGCTTTTCTTGAAATAAATCACTATCATGAGAAATTAAATTAGCAGATTGGTTGAATTTTAGCAAATCGGGTCAAGTATAGATAGTGCCGGTCAACTTTAATTATTTTTAGCTGTTTATGAGTATCATCCCGTACCGAGAAAGTTCTTTATTTCTGAACTGAAATACATTGTATCTAATCTATATTCTGCTCAGAAATTCTCTTTGAAATGTTTAAAAAAAGCATGGACTTTCTTTAAATACTTTATTTCTAATCCTAATTCTGATCAGGAATTAGCTAAATCTAGGCTATTTCTAGCTACAAAAAAGTCTCCCGCTGGGGCTCGAACCCCTGACCTTCTGATTTCTTAAAAATTTGCTCTATCAACATTGCTACAGCCCTTGATAGATATCCCTAGTTTTAGGAGAATAACAATGTTATAACAAGTGTAAGTTTGCATTGTATTCGCTGCTGCTATTGTGTATACTCGAAGCGTGTTTATCTCGTTGCGGTTGAGCAGTGAACTGATTTCGGGTTATTTCTTTCCGGAAACTGTTTGTTTCTGAACTAGAAAAGAAATAGATCACTTCTGCACGGAAAATACGAGAAAACTAGGCTAGATAATCTACATAGAATTTATATCTAGAAAAACAGCTTCCGTTGGGTACGGGATGTGAATTCAACCATGTTTCAGCCTACGACATAGTTGATGATATTGGCGCCAGGATTGACAATGAAACGAACACGTGTGTTGTCAGCTTCAAATTCCTAAGCACTGGTACCATCACAATGGGCCTTTATGTAGAGCTTTTGGTAAGCGATTCCATATTTTTGCCCATATAAAAAAATGACGAAAACTAAGAAAAAATAGCTTACTATGATGTTTTTCCTATTCCATCTCTGAAAAAATTCTACGCCTAAAAAATCGAAGATAAGCTCATCGGATGCGGGGATCAAAAAATTGCAGAACAAGAATTCAATCGCGGTAACCACTAAAAACCAAAAACAGAAAAAATGTTATTCTAGCGAGGGAAAAATGTCTAAACTAACACAAATGTAAGAAGAACTGCAGGGAGAGCAAAAAGGAAAATGGTTTGAGAGCAGAACAGTCCCAAGAGCAGAAATACAGAAAAATTTTCACTCTTATAAGCTAACCGGTACAACAAGTAGTAGAAATGTCACGATTACCAACTAAACAAATATTTTCTGAAAATTTTTGAATAATTGGTTCATAATTTGTTTGAAAGTTTCAATTGAAAACTAGACAAATTTAATCAATCATGGAATAATTTTTTTGTTTCGTTGGAAATAAAGAAACTGGACACAACGAACAACATTGTATATTCAAACTCGTTTTTCTCAAATTGGATCAAGATTAGCCACAAACTGAGGAGACCAAAAACTGCTCGGAAATTCGTCAGAATTTTTTGGTGCAATTTTTTTTCGAGGTTCTCAATCAAAACTATAGCACAAAATTGGGTCAATTTGGAATTTTTTAATTATTCAAGAATCGCTTTGAAACTACCGAGTTTTTTAATGAAAACATTACACCAAAAGAAGATTCTTACCCAGCCTAACAAAGTGCGAAAGTTCAAAAGTTCCAAAAAAGTCAAATTTCCAAAACTTTGCGTAAAACGTTTAAAATTTGTTTATTAGGCAAAGATTTTGATTTTAGTATGGTAAAAAAAAGTGAAATTTTTGGCACCAAAAAATAATATTGTTTTATTTTTGAGAGTTTCACTTTCCTAAAAGGTTGTTGCGATTTGTAAGAGACTTCTTTTGACATAATTTTTCATCAATCAGCTGAGTATTTTAAAAATTCTTCTTGTTTATTCCAAAAAACCCAATTGACCCAATTTTGTTCTCTTCACTTTTTGTCTAATCCTAGACAAATTTGAAAAAAAACTTGTTTGGAGTTTCGAAATTTATTTGTTTCGATCGGATAATTTAAATCTGCATTGATGCACCGTATTAAAAATTTCCATGAATGTTTTTTTATGGACTAGCTAGTGTAAATCATTTTTTATCTAGTGTTCTGCTTTTGGACATTTTCTGCTCTTAGAATTTTCTGCTCGTTGACACGTCATGAAGAAAACCGCACTTTGTTTCCTCTTTTTTTTTCCTCTTTTTTTTTTTCAATTTTTCAGCAGTTTTTCTTTGATTAACTTCTGTGTTTGTTAATTTCTGTGTTTTCAACTTTTCGCTTCAACATACTTTCTTGATTGCCTGAATTCACAAATGAATCACTTTTGAACAGTAAAAGAAGCAGTTCATTAATATCCGCTGATTTAGGCCAAAAATTTGTCCGAAACTTGGTATACGCTTCTGCTTGAGGCTTTTAAAATTTATGTTAGGTTAGATAGCCAAAAATAGGTGCATATTAAATTAGTATCTGATTAGTAGCAAACTGTTAAATCCATCCCTGGCAGTACATAGAACACCAGTTGTGTTAGAATTGATCCATTGAGTTGAGTTGAGTTAAGTTGCGTATGTGTGGTGTTATAGGGGGGGCCAGAGGCAGAAGATAAACACAACCTCACTGTGGATGATGTTCTTGAAGGGGGAGCAGCAGCTTGCATTACGGATGAAGGTGCAGGGACGACAACGTGTGAGTGGGAACTGGAAGGATTTACTCAAACCAGTTACGACTTCGAGCTCACCCCTGTTGTGGCAAGCATCAGAACTAATACATATGAGATATCCATCGGCTCCGCAGGCAAGTAAACCTATAGAGCTCATTCCAGTACACCTGTCTTAATTTGACCATTACTCAACATTCGGGACAAATTGAAACATTCGGGACAAATTGAATCAGTCTCTGTTTAAACATGCGATTGCTGAGTTTTTACTTGATTTATGTTTTGGTATTTAGATGAAGTTTCTCTGCGTTTGAGTGTGTTTTGTCCTTTAAACTGGCATTTTTTGTTCAACACACCTGCTCCTTATATAGAAAATCTTGTGCTTTTGTTATTCAGAGTCTCGTTAAAAAGGTTACGCATTACAGGTACATACTACATAAATTGAATCAGCCTCTGTTTAAACATGCGAATGCTGAATTTTTACTTGATTTAAGTTTTGGTATTTAAAAGAACTTTTTCTGCGTTTGAGTGTGTTTTGTCCTCTATACTGGCATTTTTTGTTCAACACACCTGCTCCTTATATAGAAAATCTTGTGCTTTTGTTATTCAGAGTCTCGTTAAAAAGGTTACGCATTACAGGTACATACTACATAAATTGAATCAGCCTCTGTTTAAACATGCGAATGCTGAATTTTTACTTGATTTAAGTTTTGGTATTTAAAAGAACTTTTTCTGCGTTTGAGTGTGTTTTGTCCTCTATACTGGCATTTTTTGTTCAACACACCTGCTCCTTATATAGAAAATCTTGTGCTTTTGTTATTCAGAGTCTCGTTAAAAAGGTTACGCCTTACAGGTACATACATTGAATCAGTCTCTGTTTAAACATGCGAATGCTGAATTTTTACTTGATTTAAGTTTTGGTATTTAAAAGAACTTTTTCTGCGTTTGAGTGTGTTTTGTCCTTTAAACTGGCATTTTTTGTTCAACACACCTGCTCCTTATATAGAAAATCTTGTGCTTTTGTTGTTCAGAGTCTTGTGAAACCCTTACTTCATATATGTAATAGAAGTAACAGCCTTATATATTTATTAAGAGCTGAGAAAGTTCATTTAATTACCAGAAGGCAACTGTCTGATTAACTAGATAAATGCAGGAAGTCATCAGACATCAATATATATGCTATTTGATTTTTTCGCATTTGGTTGCGCTCTCCACTTTAAGCATGGTTTTTGTTTTCAGGTTTTCTTACGCAAAAATAACGGCGACACAAAACTGCCACCAATAAATTATTGCAACCAGTAAATTATGATGACCCATTAATTATGACGACTAATGACTTATGAAGTGTGGCGACTAATAACGGCGCATTATGCCCTTCATTTCACTAAAAGTTTGCCCGCCGTCCAAAAATGTATCCGACTAATTTAATATGCTTTGTTGTGGTTTCAGATGCCGGTGCTATCCAGGCTGCAAGCTTCAAGGCACTCATTCTAGCTGTTCCCATAACCCAAGTTCTTATCTCCCTCATGTAGAAACTTCCTTAAATCAACTTCTTTATGAATAAGCGATACAGAATTAAGTTACGCTCAGTTTCTGCGGTTTGAACACAGAACACTTGTGAAAATTTTCATCTTTTTAAACAAACTTTCAAGTCTTTTCTTATTTTGAGGCGTATATAGAATCATAAGTTTTTTAAAGATCGCTGCATCATGGCAAAAATATATGGTCCGTAAAGTTTTAACAGAAAACCCGTTATTGATAGTTTTACTCGTACCTGTTTCGTGAACTAGCCAATTTTTTTTTCAATTTTCTCGGAGTCAACTTATTTAGATTAAAGAAGTTGATTTTCGTTTCTACTCCCGGAAACTTTTATGTAAATAGCTGTGTTAACCAATTTGTATTATTTGAAGTTCACGCCGTAAATAATAGATTTTTGGATTGTTGAGTTGTACAAATCACCAACTTCAACGAAAATAATGCTAAAAATGCCAAGTATATTGAGCTATTCAAGTTATCGAGAAAAGTGTTCACTTTCATGAAAGCTTAGTGGTGACCTTTTAAAAAAAGAATTTGCCCTAGAAAACTTGCAAAATTATTTGATTCAATTTTAATTCTCATTCATTCCATTGGTTTGCATCTAGTTATTGCAAATGATTAAAAATATTGAGCTATGAAAAAAAAACTTCATTGTTTTTCAAGACAAAGGTTGTCCCTCAAAAAATTTTTCTTATATCATTTTTCAGTTTCACCAAAACATATTTTACAGTTAATATCAGGGACAACCTTTGCTATGATTTTATATTCAAAATTTGAACTAACTGGCCGTCGAGAATCCAATTCTTTTCTCCGGTAACAAAGTATTTCTTTTATGTGACATGTTCAACGGAAGTATGACGGGCTGGCAGCCCTGACAAATACCGTGGCTGTTTCATGGAAATTGCTTTATCTTATTTGATAGATAAAATATATTTTACTAGTACGAAGCTGTGAATCTCTCAACTGTTATGCAGTCCGAACTTGACAAACTTTCGGAGACTGGATTTGGAAATAGCAGAGGTACACACATTGTACAATTTTTCAATGCTGTAAAAATTGTTGAAAAATTAATTCTTCCAGAATTTGATTCACTGTTTTTAAGTGAGCTGAGGCCCTGAAGTCCCTAGATATAATAAAAAGCTAAGAAAGTTCAATTAAAAACAACAGACCGTTGTAGTGACGTCTGAATAAGAATATATATGCAGTAAATCATCAAACATCACTACATTTGCTACTTGATACTTAAACGAACGAGCTTTCATAGCTTTGGATTCCGCCCTCCCGTTTAAACAAGTTATATTTTTTTTGTTCATGAGAGATCTGCAGAATTATTTAGGCTTTTTCTATGCACAAATAATCGCGACTAATAACTGCGACCAATAAATCAAGACAAACGGTGAATAATGGCGACCAATTAAATGTGACGACCAATGGCGTAAGCAGTGTGGCGACCAATAAATGCACAATTTGAATGATGGGCAATTTTTTGGTGAATTATAGGGCATAATTCACCAAAAAATTGCCCATCATTCAAAAAGTTTCGACATCGTACACTTTTTTCCAAGGTGTAAAAGTTTTTGAAATTTTTGTCTTCCAGATATTTATTTGTTAGTTTTCATCAGTGAAGTGAGGCACTGAAGGCTCTAGATATGTTAAAAGGCTAATAAAGTTGAATTAAAAACGAAAGACAATTATAGTGACGTCTGATTAACTACATATATGCAGTAAATCATAAGACATCACTACATGTGCTATTTGACTTTTAAATGAACTTTCTTCGCCTTTGATTCCGCCCTCACGTTTAAGCATGCTTTTATGTTCTTTTTTATGTGCTTTTTATGCCATGATTTTAACCCAATGCAGATCTCCAGCTCAAAAATTAGACACTCTTGCAACCAAGAGAGTCCTCTTTGTTTTGGTTCAAAGTACAATTTATACCTGGTCAACACGAAAATTTTTTGGTGATTGAAAAAATAGGAAAACCCCATCTTAAGGTCTGAACGCAAAAATCTCGCAGAAGTAGATGTCCGAGGGGTTTTAGGAAAGATCGAGTATTCAGTTTAAAAAAAAGGCACTTTTGAACGTTTTACAATTCAATTTTACATGCTTGCAAAAAATAAACATTTTAGTGCTTGTTTATTCACAATGTGAAGCGTCATAGTACGCTTTTTTTCAAATCTGCACAGAAAACCGAACCCGAGGCTAGATTTTTCACCTAATTTGAAGCAAGATTTGAGCGGGTTGAGCGGTTTTTTTTAGACAATTACGCTCAAAATCTTGCTTCAAAATGAGCGGTTCGAGCGGTTTTTGAACGGTTTATCTATTAATCGCGCCGTCTCCACCTCGGTCTGGAAAGTAGCGCCCTCTCCACCTTGGTCTGAAAAGGGGCGCCGTCTCCACCTTGGTCTGGAAAGTCGCACCGTATCCACCTCAGTCGCGAGGAATATAATCTTGGTCGCGCTGTCTCCAACTCGGTCTGGAAAGTCGCGCCGTCTCAGCCTTGGTCTGAAAAGTCGTGCCGTCTCCGCAATGGTCTGAAAAGTCGCGCCGTCTCCGCTTCGGTCTGCAAAGACGCGCCGTCTCCACCTCGGTCGCGAAAGTCTTGAAAGTGCACATTTCGGTCGCGCTGGCCAAACCGGTCGCGCCGTTGCCTTTGGAGTCGCGCCGTTTCCTGAGTCGCGCCGTATCCACCATGGTCGCGAAAGTCGCGCCGTCTCCACCTCGGTCGAGAAAGCCCTGCAAAACTTTTTTACAGTCTCGCCGTCTCCATGTGGGTGTGGAAAGTCGCGCCGTCTCCATCTTGTTCTGGAAAGTTTGGAAATAGCTAGGTTTGGTCGCGCCGGTCAGGCCATTTCCTGAGCCGCAGGGTCGCGCCATATTCGCCTCGGTCGCGAAAGTCGCGCCTTAGATTTTCGGTTGCGAAAGTCTGGAAATGGCAACTCTTGGTCGCGAGAGTCTGGACATACCAAATATGAGTCGCGATGTTTTGGTCGCGCCACTTCCGCTTAGGTCGCGATAGTCGCGACGTATCATCATGGTCGCCAAAGTCTGGACATGCCTAATTTTGGTCAGGAAAGCCTGGACATGCCAAAATTTTGTCGCGAAAGTCTGGACATGAGTCTAGGTAATCGACCCGGGAAGACCGCTCAAAAACCGTTTAAAAACCGCTCAAATAGTGCTTGAAAAACCGTTCAAAAATCACCGCAAGAAATAAGCGGTTTTTGAGCGTTTTATTAAGCAAGATTTGAGCGGTTCGAGCGGTTTTTCTAAAAAAAAACGCCCAAACCGCTCAAACCGGTCAAATCTTGCTGGAAAACCGCTCAAACCGCTCATATCTTGAGCGGTTTTTGAACGGGATCTCGACCCGGGAAGTCTTTTCTTTGAGTTAAAGTTTCATAGTTTTGTTAGATAGTTTTATGCATGATAACGTTGTCTCACAATCAAGCATCAGAAGCGGATTATGTTGGATATTTGACTGATAGGCGGTTACTCAGTCAATTGAAAAGTCACGCTTTAATAGTATATCACCTCTCTTATCAAAATAATCGGGAAAAGTTATTTGAGTTAAATCACCTAGAATTTTTTCTGAGCCGTAATCATGTATATTTCGCCGCTTATGTTTAGAGTTATTCAATACTCATAGATCTAAACTGAGTACAGGGTAAATGTTAGATTACTTCTTTAGAACACAGATCATCAAAATCTCACAATAATAAAAAACCTTTTTTACAGAAAATTAGTCCGAGCCTTTTTTGTCAACCTTGTCAACACAAAGGAATTGATCCATTTAATGTAAAGCAATGTCAAATTTTTAGGCGCAGTAAAATCTAAGTGAAAAAAACCTTTGAACTCTTTGTACTAAATTGCAGAATCTTATAGACCGATGCAAGAAAAAAAGCTTTATCGAATGAAATAATTGTAATCAGAAAGTATGTCAATGTTAGGACCGGGCTGTCTGGTTGATTTTACTGCTCGCCGCCTTTTAAAATGTCTGGTCTAAATTCTGAACATTGGGCAATTTGCTTCATTTGAACAGCAATAGTATTGTATCGTGTCCCGGATCCTATGGGGGGTCCCTTCCTAAGGGTGGGAGTGCCGTACGTAAAACAAAATTCTAGGAAAGGGGTCCTTAATGTTTTGGAGGACCCCTCTCCTAGGATTTTGTAAATGAACGTAAGTTCCCAAACCTGAAGTAAGATACCACTCCATAGGACCGTGTTAAGCTGAGCTTCGTCGAAGATTTGGCATGCTAAAAAGGTTTGTTATTGAAACTGAATCAAAGGATTTCTCACAATTATTTGAAATAACATTTGGTTTGCTTAACCTAGTTTAATTGTTTAAGCTATTTATGTTAAAACAGTAATTGAGCCCAATACGAAAACATTTTTGTTAGTAAATTGCTAAAAAAAACCAAAACAAGTTTAAGTCGAAGTATAAAAAGGACCAGCAGTAAAAATCATCTGAAAATATATGTTTCAGAATTTGATGTTTTTTGTTATGGGTTTCGTTGCGATGTTTTTTAGATGGTCGTTTTTCTGAAGCTTTCGATAAAAAAATTGGGTTATATGTTCACTGAATTGGCTACTAGAAGCTTCTTCTCGCAGCTCTATTTCTGAGTAGGGCCGCTGTAAAAATCCCCAATTTGGAAATTGAATTTCGGGCGAACTGCTAGCAGTTTCGTTGTATGAAATGGTCCAATCGGTGTCCAATAAATGTTTTCTAGAAAAGCACTTTCTTTGGCGGCTTTATACCCGAAGGGCACTGTCAAAATCCCGTCGAGCAGCTGAAAAAGTTTTGAGTCCAATGGTGATTTTGCAAGTTTGTTGTGTTTCACTGTCATATTGGTGTGACCTTTCGAAACTTTAATACAGTTTTACACTCTCATTGTTTCCCAAGTAAATAAAGCGTCCCTGAAGGTTTGATGGATCAGTTCTCGCTGTGCACTCCGTTTTATTCCTTTGGCACTCAATTTTTGAGAAACTCCTTTTCAGAAACAAAATTATAATTCCTTTTTACAAAGCAGGGGATAGTTTCATTTCGCTTCAGCAACTCAATTTATACCAAACAAAGTTTCCTTCATTTCACCAAAAAGAGCAGTAGACTCTAAATTATGATTTGAGAAAGGAAATA